AGTTCTTACGTGTTTTTCAACCTTGGGTCATATATCTACCTCCTGGCAGGTGGAAATAGGCAGAACACATTATTGGGGAAGATAGAAGATGGGAATGAGGTCATTAAATCTCTATTTGCCTTCTTGGAGGGGTGTTCAGATTTCTCAGTAGATCCTATTGGAAGACTTGGAGTTCCAGGGATGATTCTGTAAAGATTAAGAAACACCTCTTTAGGGCTGACACTTCAGCACATTGACAGAGTCTTTGCCCGGCATGTGTGAGGCCCTGGGTCCCAGCCCTAGCACAACAAAATAAACACTACTCTGCATTTAACACCTAAAGAATAAGAGCAACCTGCCTGAAGTCCAGGTGTTCCCAACCTGGTTGTATGTAAAGCCTCACCCAATACATGAGGTAGGACTCAGACATTTGTCTTAGAGGACATGTAACATCTCTTGAGGGGAATCTTACGGAGGCAGACCTTGATTTCTTCTTTATCCTTCCTCTTTTTTATTTTATTTTTTTTATTTTTGTGCTGGGAATCGAACTCAGGACCTTGGGCTTGCCAGGGCTTGCCAGATTTCCATGAGCTATATGCTGAGCTATATCCATGGTTTCCTCCTTTTTAAAAAGGCATAAAGGGGGCTGGGGATTTAGCTCAGCAGCACAGCGCCTGCCTGGCAAGTGCAAGGTCGTGAGTTTGATTTCTGGTACTGGAAAAAAAACAAAAAATAAATAAAAAGGCATAAAGGCGAGGGATGTAGGACAGCGCCTGCTTGGCGAGTGCAAGGTCTGAGTTTGATTCCTGGTACCACCAAAAAAAAAGAGGCATAAAGGGATTTTATTAGGCAGAAATTTAGAAGTACACATTCAAAAAAGTAGTGTGGGCCCTCAAGAGAGGGGTACAGTACCATTTGGAGCTGGGAGCACGTGTCTTTGGTGGGAGGAACCTGAGGAATTTGTGAATTTATAGGAGGTTTGCTCTTGGTTTTGGTTTACAGAAGAATGGCCCACCCACAAAAAGATAAATGACCCATTTTATAGGTGAATGACATAAGCCCCACTCCAATTTTTTTTAAGACGTTCTCCCTTAAAACATTTAAAACTCAATCTGTTAAGATCAGGTTTCTGCCACTTACTAAATACCTTAACCCACAGCTACTACTAACTCAGTTTCATATAACTACTCAAGGGTCCTCAGGCCTTGTAAATTTAATTTTTTTTTTAATTTAATTTTTTTTTTGAGATAGGGTCACATTGTGTGGTTTGGGCTGGCGATCCAAGTGCTGAGATTACAGGTGTGCGCCACCATGCCCAGCCTTTTTTTTAAGTAAAAAATATTTAGCCTAAATTTTTATATATAAACATGTTATGTAAATATTTGAAACGTTAAAAAACTTTCAAAGCAAAGCAAAAAAAAAAAGCATAAGCAAGGGCATACTGATGGGTAACCTTGGGTAATTGTCTTAGAGTTGTCTTTTTATTGGTTTTTGTTATTTTGAGACAGGGTCTCACTATGTAGTTCAGGCTGGCTTTGAACTCACTATGTAGCCCAGGTTGGCCTTGAACTCATGCCAGTCCTTCATTCTCCTGAGTCCTGGGATTTCAGGTGTGTGCCATCATACCCAGCTTGATTTTTAATATTAACCTTTGTCCAGAGGTGTTAAGTACAACAAGTGGAGTTTAAGAACGTATGGAATTTTTACTTGTTTTAACAGATAAATCTAACATTCTTTTAATTATAACAATGGGAAGGAATATGCTAAAGATTTTTGTGGCTATTGAACCAGTAAAATTTTTACTATAGGACTCTGTTGTGGAATGGAAGACCTTTTTTGAATTACTGGCTCCAGATAATATAAACATGAGCAGGGCTTGCTGGCTGATGCCTATAATCCCAGGACTCAGAGACGAGGCTGAAGGATCTTGAGTTCAAGGCCAGCCTGGGCTACATAGTGAGTTCAAGGCCAGCCTACTCTATATACTGAGACACTGTCTAAAAAACAGTATGTGCTGGGCAGTGGTGGCGCGTATGCCTGTAATCCCAGCACGTGGGTGGCGGGAGGATTGTTGGGAGTTCCAGACCAGCATGAGCTACAAAGTGAGCTCAAGGCCACCCTGAACTGTATAACGAGACCCTGTCTCAAAAAGACAAAAATAAAAATATGTGCTGTTTGCCAGATACGTTCTAGATAACTTTGCATGTGTTAACTAATTTTCATATCAACCCTATACAAAGGTAGTAGCCCTCGTTTTGTGACTGGGAATCTATAGTAACATGTCCAAGCATCACAAAAGTATTAGGTGCAAGCTGGGCGTGGTGGCACATGCCTGTAATCCCAGCACTCTTATAATCCCAGCACTTGGGAGGTTGAGGCAGGAAGATAGTCAAGTTCAAGACCAACCTGGGCTACAAAGTGAACTCAAGGCCAACCTGAACTGCATAGTGAGTAGTTTTTGTTTTTATTTTGGCCTGTCTCAAAAAGACCAAAAAAAAAAGTGTTAGGTGCAGACCTGGGATTTGTATGTGGGAGCCCAGGATCCTTACTGGCTGTTGTGACTCAACTGAGGATTGGAGAACAAAGGGCTGAGACCACCTCTGGATACTTTGCCCTGTTCAGGCCTAGCCTGAGCTTCCTGCTTCACTCACCCTAGAGCCGTGTGCTTTTACTTTTCTACAAGGGACTCTAAGATAAGCCTAAAGCCTTTTGCTGAAATCCCTGCCTCCAATGGAATGTTTTTTTTTTTTTTTTGGTTTTTCTCCGGTACGGGGAACCGAACTCAGGACCTTGCGCATGCCAGGCAGGCGCTTTTGCCGCTGAGCTAAATCCCCAGCCCCTAATGGAATGTTAATTGCCCCAGCCCTAAGTCCTGAGAGGAGCATGATCAATGAATTCTCAAATAAATTGGCAATTAAGATTTTGAAACACTGACCTGGGAATATAGCTCAGAGGCACAGCACCTGCCTGCAAGTGTGAGGTCGTTAGTTCGATTCACCATACCAAAAACTAAAAAGTATTTTGAAATACTGCCCTGAGGGGCTGGAGCTGCATAGCGAGACCCTGTCTCAAAAAAAAAAAAAAAAATTGCGGGTACCGGGTTCACTAAATTTAGTAATTAGATGAATTTTTAAAATTTGTTTTGTTTTTTGTTTTTGTCTCTTGGAGACAAGGTCTCACTATGCAGTTCAGGCTGGCCTTGAGATCCCTTTGTAGTCCAGGCTGGCCTCAAACTCGCAGCAGTCCTCCTGCCTCAACCTCCCGAGTGCTTAGGTGAATTTTTTAGATGAATATTTTTTGCTACCTCCTTAACTTTTTTTTTTCTTTGTCTTTTTGAGACAGGGTCTCGCTATGCAGTTCAGGCTGGCCTTGAGCTCGCTTTGTAGCCCAGGCTGGCCTCAAACTCGCAATGATCCTCCTGCCTCAGCCTCCCAAGTGCTGGGATTACAGGCGTGTGCCACCATGCCCAGGTGGATCCCTATTTTAATACAGCAAAATTAACTCAGGGCAGCTAAAAGGTTTTTTTTTTTGGTACCAGGAATCGAACTCAGGACCTTGCGCTTGCCAGGCAGGCGCTTGTGCCACTGAGCTATATTCCCAGCCCAGCTAAAAGATTAAAAAATAGGGATCGCCCAAATCCGGTAATCTGAGCACCAGGGAGGCAGAGTCAGGAGGATTGCCTGAGTTTGAGGAAAGCCTGAACTACATAGCAAGACCCTATCTCATGCAAACTAACCAGAAAAAATACCTAAGGGAGGAGAGAAGATTGGGGGAAAAAATCAAGATACGTAATATACAGGTACGAATTCCCTATAGTGAATGTTATCATTATGTATACCTAAAATGTACCAATAAAATTAATTTGTAGAAAATAAGCTTTAAATTTAAACTGACAGTAATTTAAGCCAGGTGTGGTGGCACATTCCTGTAATCCCAGCACTTGGGAGGCTGAGGCAGGAGGATTGTTGTGAGTTCAAGACCAGCCTGGGCTACAAGGCCATCCTGGGCTACAAAGTGAGCTCAAGGCCAACCTGAACTGCATAGCAAGACCCTGGCTTAAAAAGACAAAAAAAAAAAAAAAAAAAAAAGGCCGGGCAAGATGACACATGCCTGTAATCCCAGCATTTGGAAGCTGAGGCAAAAGGATCACTGCCAGTTTAAGGCCAGCCTGAGCTACATGGTGAGTTCAAGGCCAGCCCTAACTGCATAGTAAAAACCTGTCTCAAAAAGACCAAAAAAAAAAAAAATTCAGAGGATATGCGTAAGAAGCCAGGCATGTCACACACCTGTCAGTTTGAGCCAGCCTGGGCTGCACAGCAAGACCCTGTCTCAAAAGCAAAACATAAGAAATTGGTAGTGGTGGGTGTCGGATTAGGAGTCAGTTTGCTAGGAAATACAGGTGATGCTGTGATACCTTTCAAATTTTACACCATGTGCATTTATTACTCATAATTTTTTTTTTTTTGTCTTTTTTGAGACAAGGTCTCATTATGCAGTTCAGGCTGACCTTGAGCTGACTTTGTAGCCCAGGCTGCCCTTGAACTTGCAATCATCCTCCTGCTTCAGCCCCTGAGTGCTGGGATTACAGGCATGCACCACCACGCCCAGCTATATTGCTAGTTATCTGAGGCATCTCCACAATTCAGTTGTGAGCTTTTGTAGGATGAAAATCTGCATACCAAGTACTTTAAATAATGGATTGACAGAACCCTCTGTGTGAGCCATTCCACAAAATTCTCTCCAGTTTCTCACTTCCCATCAGAGATGCACTCAGATCCTGTTTAGATCTTCAATCCAGACCATGTTCACTGTAGGAAACTTTCAGTGGGACTGGCTGTATAGGAGAGGCCAGGAGGGTGTCTACATCTCTGATCTGGAATATCTTGCTTGCCAGCCTTGTTGGGGATGAGGTACTTCCAGCTTCTCTGGTTCTGTTCCAACTTGATGAAATCCGGGTTAAAGGAGGCAGGCTCTTTAAGACATGGTGTGGTGCCCCGCCTTCTAAAGGGATCAGCTGAATCCCGGTCACATGACTCCGAGCCTTTTCCGGCAGCAGAAGCTGCTGCCGCATGTGTAGTTGTGGGGAGCCCCGCCGGGGTTGGCGGCGCTGTACCCCCAGCCCCATGCTCCTCTTGAGTCTGCTTCTGTCTACAGCCCCGTTTGGCTTCCTGGGGGAGGAGACCCGCCAGGTGAGGCCCCCGGATCACAGCGGTAGAGGTTTCCGGAAATGCTACAGTCTGGGGCAACCAAGGGGTGGAGGGTGGCCGCGAGAGACTGGGAAGCAGCTGTGAGCCATGAGGAAGGACTGTGGAATGGAGCAGGTATATGGCTTCCTGCCTTCCAGCTTAGTCTGGACTTGACTCAGCCCTAAATAACCCCAGTCCAGGGAAATGTAGGCGTTTTTTCTTCTCAGCTCTGTGCCCTGGCCTCCTTCCTACCAGGTCCAGGCAGCCCTGGCTTTACCCCAACTCCCTTCTTCCATCCAAGACTCTGCCCCTTCTTCCAGGACTTTGTTAGCTTCTGTGTGCAGCCAAGGCCCCACACTCCCTAGCACTGCCCCTTCCCCTCCCACTCGCAGGTTTGGTTTTGCTGTGTCTCCTTGATCCTGTCCCCGCCCCTCCATTACTCCATGTTCTAGGTATCTCTGGAGGTACCGGGCTGGCCAGACAGTCCCCAGAACCTGCTTCATATCCAGGCAGTGGGCACCAACTCCACCCTGCACTATGTGTGGAGCACACTGGGGCCTCCAGCAGTGGTGCTGGTGGCCACCAACACCTCCCACAGTGTGCTGCACATCAACTGGACCCGCCTGCTGTCCCCTGAGCCAGAGGGGGGCCTGACGGTGCTCCCCATGGAGAGCGTCCAGTTTTCTTCTGCCCTCATCTTCACCAGGGTGAGGAGGTGGGGGAGGACAAGGAAGGAAAGGAGCTGGGAGGAGAGTTTATCCCCATGAGAGATGGAGGGGATGGGTGAAGGAGACTCGGATGGGAGGCCCTGGGTGAGGGAGGTGAGTGCCTCAGGAGAAACCTGGGCCAAGGCAAGCTCAGGTCCACCCCACCCCACCCCTAGCTGCTTGAGTTTGACGGTGTATCAGAAGCTACAGCAAAGCCCCCCGGAAAACCATATCCTTCGTACTCCTTGGCCGAGTTCTCATGGAACAACATCACCAACTCATTGCATCCTGATACCCTGAGCGCCACCTTTCAGGGCCACCCTAAAGATGATCCGACGGGGGCTTTTGCCAATGGCAGCCTGGCCTTCAGGGTGAGTATGGGAAAAGAGGAGGAGTCCAAAGGCTGGTTTCTGAGCCAGTTGTGGTGGCGCACGCCTGTAATCCCAGCACTTGGGAGGCTGAGGCAGGAGGATTGTTGCGAGTTCAAGGCCAGCCTGGGTTATAAAGAGTTTAAGACCAGCCTGAACTGCATAGTGAGACCCTATCTCAAAAAGACCAAAACAAACAAACAAATGCTGGCTTCTGAGAGTGGGAATTATGATGGGTGTAGCCCCTAGCCCAGGCATCAGGTCTACTCCCACACCTCCTGTGTCTCCTCCTTTCTAGGTCCAGGCCTTTGCTAGATCCGGCCGACCTGCTCGGCCCCCTCGCCTCCTGCACACAGCAGACACCTGCCAGCTAGAAGTGACCCTGGTTGGGGCCTCTCCCCGAGGAAACCGCTCCTTGTTTGGAATAGAAGTGGCTACCTTGGGGCGGGGCCCTGACTGCGGCAGGATTCAGGAGCAGCATTCCATCGACGATGAATATGCACCTGCAGTTTTCCAGGTCTGGCCAGTGGGACAGGGACAGGCAGAGACCAGGATGTAGGTGGGACCCTATTAGGACCTCAGAGAATCATTCAAGTGCTTAGCATTTCGCAATACTTTCCCTGGCCTCTTTAAATTCTGGGTAGTGTGCTAATGAATACCACCTTCTGCCTCAAGGGAGACAGACAAAAGGCAGAGGCAGGATGACTACATCTGCAGATAGGGATCTCCACTGGTGCCTGGGGCACACAGGAGGGGAGCTGGGTGCAAACGTGCAGGATTCCAAAGAACTCTGCTCATCCAGGCCAACCCACCCTCTATAGAGGAAGGACCGTGGCCCTGGTGCACACAGCCTGTTAGTTCAGGCCCAGCCTCATAACTCCTGCTTCCCTTCAGTGTCACAAATGGGGACTGAGAGAGGCAGAGAAGGGCCAGAGCCGTCCCGGCTCCACCTTGGTCCCTCTCACCCTACCTCATTTGCCTTTCACTCCAGCTGGACCAGTTGCTGCTGGGCTCCGTCCCATCTGGCTTTGTGCAGTGGCGACCCGTGGCTTTCTCCCAGGAGCAGGCGGGCCGCGCGTCAGCTCTGTCCTGCCAGGCTTCCCCTCTTCACCCCACCTTGGCACACTCTCTTCCCCAGTCACCTGTTGTCCAAGCCTTTTTTGGGCTCCAGCAAAACTACTGTACCTTCAGCCTGACATTTGGGGCTTCCACAGGCCCTGGCTACTGGGACCAACGCTACCTTAGCTGGTGAGAGTCAGGCGGGGCCTGAAGTGGAGGAAGGCTGAGCCCCCAGTCTCCCTCTAAGCTGCTGACCTCTTTTTCACCCTCCTGTTCCAGGTCAATGCTTCTGGGTGTGGGCCCCCCTCCAGTGGATGCCTTGTCCCCACTCATCCTGGGAATCATGGCGGTGGCCCTGGGCACGCCAGGACTCGTGTTACTAGGGGGAGGCCTGGTCCTGCTCCTGCGCCGCAAGCATTCCTCAGAGTACCAGTCCATAAACTGAGGCCCACTCTAGAGGGAAGGGCAGGACTGGACCTGCCATGCGGTGCCTTGAATGTTGGACCTTGGAAGGTCAATGTTCCTGTTGGCTGGTTCCTCCCAGTCCTTTTTCCTCACCCATCTTGCTTTTTCTAAGAAACTCAGGGTCCACCCTCAACTTCTTGAGGACCCCTAGGTGGAGCTTCTTGTACACATTGGGGAGGGGTCTGAGTTCTTGCTAAAAGAAGGTCCCTTTTGTGTTGCCTCCATGTGCTGTCATTTGCTCCATACCCTTTTCCAAGCTGTGCCCTTTTCCAAGCTCCATACCCTTTTCAAAGCTGCGCCTCCCAGCACTGGGGAGGCTGAGGCAGGAGGATCACTGTGAGTGAGTTCGAGGCCAGCCTGAACTACATAGTGAGACCCTGTCTCAAAAAAACCTAACCAAACAAACAAACAAACCCCTTTCCATTGGATGACATTCAAAGGCCTGAAAGAGTGCCCAGCTGGCTGCTGCTTCTGCCAGCACGAAATAGAATTATTTTTTTCACAAGGTTCCAGTCTCAGTGTGTAAGTGGTGTTGGGTTGGTGTGAGGCTGGTTCCAGGGAAAGGGAGGGCTAAGAGATGGGCTTGGAAGGCAGACCTCTGTGTGACGCCCCATTGTACCAGGTTTTGTTCTGTCCCTCTAGAATGTGGGCTCTTGCCAGCCACCCTCCAACATGTGCAGTGTGAATCAGACAAGGAGGGACCTTGAGGCTGGGGGCGCAAAGAGGGACAAAGAGCCAGTGAAGACTGCAGTGGGATTTATTGTTATACACATCTGCTCAAAATAGGTTGGCCTCAGCCACTCCTTCCTGCACTCCAGGCACTGTGCGTACAGGTACACACAGGTATACACATGCACACGCATGCGCACTGCTCTGGGAGACAGGGTTCCCTGTCCACTCTTCTCTTCCTGTGGAAGGCGTGACTTCTGGGAAGTCTGGCGGAGGGAGGTCCCAGGGGCCTGCACAGGTCGGATGGGAGGAGTGGCTCCCACTAGGTGACTGAGGCTAACGGGCCCTTAAGGCTACTGTGGCATGTCTTGAACCCAGGCCCCCAGGAAGGTCTTCATTGAACATGAGCAGTGTTTCCAGGCCTTAAGTTCCTACCTCCACAACTAGAATAGAAGTGGAGAGAGTTAGGCCTCACAGAAAGCTAGGGAAGGGCAAAATCCACACATTGGGGGCCCTGGAGGCAGTGTGGGAGGAGCTCAGGAAGGGAGCCATCCTTTTCCTGTCTTAGCCCCTTGTCCTCAGTATCCTTTAGAGATATGGCTGTCCACATCTTTCCCTATAAAATGTTCCTCACCAGCCACAGTAACACACACCTGTAATCCCAGCTCTTGGCAGGCTGAGGCAGGAGGATCTCTGAGAGTTCAAGGAGTTCAAGGCCAGCCTCAACTACATAGTGAGACCCTGTCTCAAAAAAAAAAAAAAAAACAACCCTCCCTTATACCTGCCCCAGGCTCTCAAAGCAAAAAGAGAACCAGGGTGGGCCCATTTTCTGATTGTACAGAACCTTATGGGGCAGCAAGGTTCCTCTCACCAAGGTCCTCTGGCTAGGGGCACAGCCAGGGCCTGCAGCTAGGTAGAGAAAGGTGTGTCTGGGTCAGAGCCATTTAACCCCAGGGGCGTGGCCAGTAGTCAGAAGCAGAGCGGGCATGGTCCGGATAGTCCAGGCGGCTCTCGGAGGCTGTGAGCATGCGCTCAGGCTCCACCATGAACATGTAGTAGAGGTTCCACACCAGCATGGCCAGCAGTGGCAGGAATGTCAAGCCGTAGCCAAAGCCTCGGAAGGAGCGGCCCACGGCGAAGGACAGCCAGTATATCAACCTGCGGGCGAGAAAAATATTAGGCTACTTGAGGGACCTACATCAACCAATGGAGAATATGTTTGTGGCAGGAGGAAGAGGGTTGGTGCCTATGCCTGGTACTATACTTCTAAAAACAGCCAAACCAGGTGTGGTGGTAATACCTGTAATCCCAGCCCTCAGGAGGCTGAGGCAGGAGGATTGCTGCCAGTTCAAGGCCAGCCTGGACTTCTTTTTTTCTGGTACTGGGAATCGAACTCACAACGTCGCGCTTGCCAGGCAGGCGCTGTGCTGCTGAGCTAAATCCCCAGCCCCTTAGCCTGGACTTCATAGTGAGTTCAAGTCCAGCCTGAACTACATAGCAAAACCCTGTCTCAAAAGACAGGGAAAAAAAAAAAAAACAGTCTGCTGGGCATAGTGGTGCAAGCCTGTAATCCCAGCCCTTGGGAGGCTGAGGCAGGAGAATCGTTACAAGTTCAAGACCAGCCTGAGCTATAGAGTGAGCTCAAGGCTAGCCTGAACTGCATAGCAAGACCCTGTCTCAAAAAGACCAAAAATAAACAAAGCCAAAGTTTATGCATTTACAGTGTGCCAAGAACATGGCTCATTACTGTAAGTAAGCTATTTAATTTTGACTTTCCCACATCCTTCTGTAAGCACATTATTCCTCTCCCCTCTTTTATTTTGTTTTGAACTTTTAATTAAAAATTTTTGAGCAGGTAGCTGGGCATGATGGCACATGCCTGTAATCCCAGAGCTCTGGGAGGCTGAAACAGGAGGACTGCAAGCTTTGAGCCCAGCCTGGCCAATTTAGGGACTTAGTGAGATCCTGTCTCAAAATTTTAAAAATGAAAAGGGATTGGGGATGTAGTTCATTCAAAGACCTTGGCTTCAATCCCCCCATACCAGAAAAAAAAATTAAGGAACACTATATATCCACATGGCTCTAAATCCACTGAATATCATAAAACATCTTACTCCCTTTACTGATTCCCATCTTTTCTCCCCATTTGCATCCCAGGTATCCAGTATTGTAGTTTCTTGTGCGTTTTCTTTTTCTTTTGAGAAAGGTTCTTGTTATGTAGTCCAGGCTCGCCTTGAACTTGAGGGAATCCTCATGTCTCGACTTCCTTTAGTGTAGGAATTAGAGGCATGCACTGCCACACCTGGCTTCATCTTGTACATGGATTGATTTATGTATATATAAATAAAATGTTTGTACCGCTAGGAATGGAACCTAGGGCCTCATTCGTGTAAGCACTCTACCACCAAGTTATACCCCCAGCCTGAATGAAAAGTTTTGATTTCTTTTTCCTTTTTGAAGTATGGTAACACACTATATAGACCTCTGCATGCAGATATTACATTAATAACACTCAGTTATTGCAGGCTGATCAAGCCTGTAATCTCCCAAATGAGCAGACGGTGAAGGCTTAACCAAGTGAGACAACTGAAGTGATTTAGGGATCCAGGAGAGTTCAACCCTATTACAGACTTCGAGGTTCTCTGGGTTGACCAAGACTTCCCTGAACAGCCTGTATTTGTTAGGTTTTCAAACAAAGGAGGGGAATACTGAAGAAAATGCAGGAATCTGGGCAGGACTTAGGAAGCCCCACCAAGGACTTTTCCAGGTAATACATTATGTTAATTTAGGAGAACTGTGTTATCTCCAGGAAGGCCTTCACTGCAGGAGTGAGATGCCTGCAGCTACGGTCTCCTCTAGTTAATAGGGGTTGGAGCCAAATGTCCTCAGCTGTGACCTTATCTTGTCCTTGGAGGCCTCATGGCCTCACCCACCATTATAGGCCTCAGTAGGGAGCAGTGACTCACAAGTAAACAAGAAAAGCCAATTGGTTAATATTAAATCCGGCTCGGAGCTGTTTCATTGTGGTCTCCATCATGCTGACATTTTCCCCCACATCATCTATTTATTTTTCTTTTTTTGTGTGTGTGGTGCTGGGGATAGAACCCAGGGCCTTCTGCATACAAGGCAAGAACTCTACCACTGGGCTGGGGATATAGCTCAGCAGTATACGTGCTGCCTGGCAAGCACGTGATCCTGAGTTCAATTCCTGGTACCAAAAAAAAAGAAACTACCACTGAGCCACACCCCCAGCCCTCGTGTCCTTTATCTTGGAGATCACTTTAAATGTATGCAGTTTTTTCATTCTTGTACAGCTCTACTGTATCCCATTATATATTTGCCCGCTTGTAGATTAAGAAGCTCAGATTCCAAAGGGGTCTAAGGTCACACTTATGAAATAGCAAAGCCACGATTTGAACCTAAGCCTGTTCATCACCCCCTCTTAGCACATTTTTTAGAGGAGCAGAAGGAAAGATGAGAGGAAGCCAGCTTCAAGCAGGCTTGAAGCCTTGAATACTAGAGGGGTGGATCAGCTATCACAAAACTTCCTCTGCTGGAGAATCCACTTCGGGAGGGAAGAAAAGGGAAGTAAAAATAATTGAGATGTGTTATGTACATGTACCAAGTCCTTCCCTGAATGTGACCTCTCTGTACTGCAAACGTGGACTAAGAAAAGCAAAAAAAGAATATTTAAAAAAAACCCAAACATTGAAGTGGGGCATGATGGTGCACACCTATAATTCCAGCACTCAGGAGGCTGAGGCAGGAGGAATGCCAGGAGTTCGAGGCCACCTTGGACTACGTAGTGAGTTCAAGGCCAATCTGAACTATACAGTGAGACCTTGTTTCAAAAAAGACAAAAGAAAAAAATATCTACTGAAAATGAACACACTTCAATATGGGGCATGGCCAGGCAAGGTGGCACACACCTGTAATCCCAGCACTCAGGAGGCTGAGGCAGGAGGATTGTTGTGAGTTTGAGACCAGCCTGGGCTACAAAGTGAGCTCAAGGGCAGCCTGAACTGTATATAGCAAGACCCTGTCTCAAAAAGACACACACAAAAAAAAGTGTGGAAGCAGTGTCCTCCTAATATATGATGACATACTACAAAACTGACATGACTCAGCTCCTGCTGCCTGGAAGGGGGAAGCTGCTACCACCGTACTGCTGAGGAGGCTGCGCCACATCAGAGTTCAAGTCCTCACCTGGTGTAAGAGTGTTTTAAGCACTCTACTTGAATTAATTCATTTACTCTGCAGAGCTCCACATTATAGATAATGAAACAGAGGCACAATAAGCTTTAAGACCTTGGCCTCGATGGGAGAAGGAAGGGGCTTAGATTCAGGTCCTGCCACTGTTGCTGACCAACTTGAGCAGTTCTTCTCACCAGTCTGTTGTGATTTCTTCTCTGTAAAATAGGAAACTGGACCAAACCATCACCAAGTCTTCCCTCTTTAGCACCTTGATGATTCTCACTCTCAAACCAACTTTTATGTGAGACCAGTGGTCCCCAAGAATCAGAGACAAGAATGAGTTACATGAGCAGGAACATACTTGTCTTGAGAAAATCTGGGAGAAAATGCAAGGTTGCATGATGTTCAGAAGGATGAAGGGACTGCTAGACTGCAACTGGAAGTGACAATCTTTGCTCAATAGGAAAATATTTTACCATTTAAAGGTACCTGGGAGCCAGGCATGGTGGCGCATGCCTGTAATCCCAGCACTCAGAAGGCTGAGGCAGCAGGATCATTGTGAGTTCGAGACCAACCAGGGCTACAAAGTGAGCTCCAGGCCAGCCTGAACTGCATAGCAAGACCCTGTCTCAAAAAGACAAAAAATAAATAAACAAACAAACCAATAAATAATAAGGGTACCTAGACTCCTGTAGTGAAAATAACAGAAAATGTACCTGGGAAAAATGAAAACACCTCCATTTCTGTGTTGTTTTGGGTTTTGTTTTTGTTTGGTTCTGTTTTTTTGGTTTTGTGTGTGTGCGTTTGGTTGTTTTTGTTTTATCTTGTTTTTTGAGAGGAGATCTTGCTATATAGTTCAGACCAGTCTTGAACTCACTATGTAGCCCCCAAGCTGTCCTTGAACTGGCAGCTGATCCTCCTGGCTTAGCCTTCCAAATGCTGGGATTATAGGCGTGCACCACCACACCCCACAAAACACCTCAATTTGGATCCAGAAATTCAGAAGTGCCTTCTGAGATACGTGTGGTGGTGCACAATGGTAACCCCAGCCTTCAGGAGAGGCTGAGTTAGGATAATGATGAGTTCAAGGCCAGCCCAGGCTACATAGCAAGACTGACTCAAAATACCAAACCAAACAAATGAACAAAAGCCAGGCATGGTGGTGCATGTCTGTAATTTTGAGACACTTCAGGAGGAATATCACACGTTTGAGTCCTACCTGGGGATTTAGCAAGATCCTATCTCAAAATAAAAATAAAAAAGCACTGGGGATGTAGCTAAGTGTGACGGCCCTGGGTTCAATCCCTAGTACCACACACACACACACACACACACACACACACACACACACACACACACACAAAAGCCAAGTTGGTAGCCTACACCTGTAATCTCAACCCTTGGGAGGCTGAGACAGGCCCAGAGAGTTTAGGCCCAATATCCTGGGCTGCATGGTGCATTCAAAGCAAGCATGGACTATGTAGTGAACCTGTTTCAAAAAAAAAAGAAGGCTGGGGATGTAATTC